TGATATTATGATTTATTGGGTAAATTTTAATGAAATTTTGGGTGAGATGGCCTCTGCGTGTATTGATTTCACTTCGTGAGTTTCATTGTGAAATTTCTAATAGTTTTGAAAATTGAGTCGAAGGAACAGCGCGAGCGCGTGAAAATTTTGCACACTCACCTCAACAACCCACATCTTTCGCACCGAGCCATCGGAAAGACGTTGGGAATCCAACAATCCACTGTTCCTCGTTTCATAAAACGTTTCGGAAAACGGTTGACTTTCAATCGGAAGCAAGTGAGTGCAAGTAAAAGTGTTCCGTACTGCGTTGAAGATCACAAGCGAGTGGTTGCTGCTTTCAAACGCAAACCTAACTATTCCGTTCGGGATGTCGCGAAAAAAAAAACTACACCTGACAAAAAGAGTCGTGCAGAAAGTCAAGAAACGAGCAAAACTACTGCTGTACACACAAATGTTGACAAAACCACACTGCTATAACATGGACGATGAATGCGGACTTCAAACAAATTGCGGGAAACCAGTATGTGATTGCGAAAGACAAGTTCGATGTTTAAGAGTCCCTCGGGAAGTTCCCCAAGAAATGCATGATTTGGCAGGTGATTTTATCGTGTGTGTTTCGTAACAACTACAACCGTAAATCGCCAAGTCTACAAGAATGAATGCCCACCGTTTCTCAAATCACACAACGTTCGTTCAATTGAATGGCCAGATCTAGCCTCTTGTCACTACTCCAAGGACGTTCTGGAGTGGTACAAGACGAATGGACTCAATTCCGTGCCGGCGGATCTCAATCCCCCAAACACACCGGAGTTGCGGTCGATTGAAAGATACTGGGCACGAACTCCGTAAGCATTCTTAAGTGGTCACTACGGAGCAGGAAATGTTGAAATCATGGTTGCAAGAAGAAGAAAAGTTGATTCAACCGTTGTACAAAACCTTATGGGTGGAATTAAGAAGAAAGTTCGGGCTTTTGGATTTGGTGAAGAAATAGAGTGCAATAAAGATACGTTAACCAAGCTTATATATAGTATTACATTCCCTGAAAATTTCATGACAATCGGAGTACTTCTAAGTGATGCAATTTAACTGTGGACACCCTTTGTTAAAAAAAAAACTACAAGGGACAGCCTTATGGGGTTGTACGCAATGGTGACGTAGGACTATGTGGTCTTATATAATAAATCTTATTTGTTAACTGCAGCAGAAGCTTGTGTTTTATGTAAGAATAGGTATTTGAGCGGGGTTCTCTTTGTTTATACTCTTTAGTATGACGCACTTGACATAGATGGTCCACAGCGACTCACGAAGAGCTACTGATTCCGGTCAATAGCGGTGCGGCTTCTTTCTTCTTCTACAGATGCTCATGCGGGCTGCAGCTTGCTGCTTGCAGGCAGCCTTTCGTTGTGTACTGGAGAACAACCCAACAAACAATTGAGAGCTCTTATATAACACCTGAGTTGATCAAACGTTGAATAATAGCTTCCAGAGTTGAACAAGAATGTAGTTGTATTGCCATTTGGTTAAAAGCTTCAAAAACTGCTTGGAGCACTCTTAAATTATTGTTTAAGTTCGACCAACCACCAACCACAATTTTGTTGCTAAAAATAGCACAAGTGATAGGCACGTTTATATGACCATAAGGCAATGATTATTCGACTGCAAGAGAAGTCACTCAAGATAAGCTTCATATATTTCTCTCATATGATCAAAATATGTGTTCAAGAATAGAGCAGATGGAAACAGAAGCGGCTGGCAATCCGGGATCATGAGTTCGAATCTTGCTTCGAGAAACCCTCGGTGGAGTAGAGGTAAATTATAAATTCTCTCAATTAATGATTAGAGAGATTAATTGAAAGAATATCATTCAAAGATTAAACAGATGTTTGTTACTACCATCTCCATGATCACAGAATGTGAATTATGGCATAATTACATATTTTTTCAATGTGCACAAATAAATTAAATTAATAAAAACTGTTCTTCTTCTTCTTCTTCGCATTTCAAGCTTATTGCATATCGCTATTAGCTTATTGCGTGCTCTCAACCTAGTGTTCTTGATGCACTTCCACAGTTATTAATTAAGAGCTTTCGATGCCTGTACCATTTTTGCATTGATATGATTGTGTGGCAAGTCTAATCATACTTCTATGCCCAGGGAAGTCGAGAAATTTTCCAACCCGAAAAATTCCTAGACCGGACCGGGAATCGAACCCAGCCACCTCCAGCATGGTCTTGCTTTGTAGCTGCGCCTTTACCGACTGAGCTAAGGGAGGCCCCTTAGGGAAACTGTACAAGCAATTATTTTGGCGTACCACGATAATTGTTAAACTAATTTTAATCTGTGAATATTGTGAGTTCTTACACAACGGTTATTAAGGAGTCATTAAAAAGTGCTATTAACGCTTTTCACCGCTTGCTGTATAGTGATTATTTAGGAGTCATAAAAGAGTGTAACAAACGCCTCTCAGGTTCAATCTCTAATACTTTTCGAAGCAGCTGTTAGGAGGTGTCTACAAACGTTGTATTAGAGCTTTCACCAAAACAATAAAGCTTGAGTTTAAATATGTATCTATAAACGTTGTATAAAAGTTGCTTCTACTCCTATAGCGCGTATACATATAATGCTGTAGTTGAACAGGTTCCCCAAACCAGTGTAAGAGTTTTACAGAAGTAACAATAAACAAAGTGTACAGTTATTATTCAGCATGCAGTTGAATAAAATCACAATGGAAGCGTTTCTTCAACAAGAAATTGATTTTGGGTAAACGTTTTACTCAATACGTTAGACAACACCTTTGTGTTGCAGTTGTATAGGTTCTCCAAACCAGTGTAAACAAGGGTTTTATAAAAGTTGTGGTGAACACATTGTGCAATTATTATTCAACATGCAGCTGAACAAAATCAAAACGAAAGCGTTTCTTCAACTGGAAATTGTTACTTGGGAATGTTCAACACCACGCGCCGAAAGCACTGCTGCTGCTGATGCCAACGACCGGACACCACCACACACGGTGATTGGAACTGAATCCGATCAGCCTGGCTCAACCGCTGATCGGATAGCTAGCTGCTGCCGGGGTGCCTTTCGTTGCGTACTGGAGAACACCACCACTCACCACGTGGTGATTGAATAGAAACCGTTTAGTGAGACCGGATGGGATTCAACTTTAAAATCTGTGTTAGGGAAATCACTTTTCGCAGGCAATTGGTGGTTATTTTAATTATTATAGCAACAGTTGTACATTCGTGTAATTTTTAAAAGTGACATTTTGACAAATTTTAAAGTCTTAAATTAAACAGATATTAGAGTAGAAATATTTCTGATCGATTGGTGATAAAATTATTGAAATTGGTCCAGGGGCCGCTGAATTATTAACGTTCAAAATCTTTCATAATTTTGTTACATGATCCATTTTCTGTTTTCACAAAGTGTACCCCCATATAGAAATCACAGACGTAGTCCTACGTCAAAATTAAGTATGTTCAATTTGCGATAAGGAACGACCGACAATTGAAGAAATAAAATTGAATCAAAAGGCCAATATCATTAGCGACAGTGCTGCTCACAAAGATTGCTATTGTTAGTAAAGAGAATAATTATTATTCATAAAACGTCCAGTCAATTTATTTAGCGATGGCCATGAAATCCATTCCGTTGATTGGCCATTATAATTTCGCCTAATTTTTCAACGAGTTCCTGAAAAAAACATTAGCGAAAAAACAAAGGAAGACAATTGACACCATCATCAATTATGTCAAATTTTTCAGACTAATTTAACAGCAAAACCAGTTTCAACTTTGAAAAGACTTCAACGCGATTTTTTTTTGCGGGGGGGTATGTGTTCATAGACATAAAGATTTGCAAACATATAGAGGAAGTGTGTTGGCCATATGCACGGAGGCAGCAATCAAGAATTTCGTCGTGTCAATGTGATGAAAATAGGGGTTAAGATGACTGCACCAGACTGCTCTTTCTAGCATTCCGCACTGCGATGCAAGTGCAAAAGAGTAACCCGTTTTGTTCTATCGTACCTCCGTCAGTTTTACCGCTGTAAGTATGCCCAAAAGTGTCAGATTTCCAAAAATTTCAAAATCATGTGAGCTATTGTGCATCTATATGTGGTTGACAGGGATAGGGTCCCGCTGGCCATACGACCTTAATCAGGTTCAAATTAAGTATTTCGCAATTTTTCAACGCATGCATGCAGAACAGAATTGAGATTAAATAAATTTTGAGTTTATTGAAAATGCTAAAGTCTTAGGCTGTATGGCCAGTTACATAACTGGGACACTTCCCCTAGTTTGTTTTTTTATTTGTGAAGATAAGAAGGTTTCAAAACTCTAGACACAGGAAAGCGTAAAAGATTATTGTTTAACGAAAGCCTTATTCACACTGGGACAACATCAGCTGTCGATAATGCTTCGTCTTGAAGTTATTAACTGAAAGATTGGTCAAAGCGTCCATTACCATTAAAGTGATAATTACCGATGCCCATGAGGGCATCGAAAAACCATCACGAGAAGAACGCAAAATCCAACCGTGTCGACAAACACAAACGCTATTTTCGGCAAATGAGTTCATCCTCTTCTCGTCATCAAAAACTAGTTCCAAAGACATTGACATTTTGGGCAAACTCAGAAAACCCCAAAAACCCACCAGAGAAACACAGTTTCAAACCACCGAAATCACGATGACTCGCGCGCACGCACACACCTTGCCTTGGCAGCAGGCACAGAAACAGATGGGATTTATTGACACGCGAGAATCGCTCCCCATTTGTTATCGCGTTGCTTCTTTGCGGCTCCACCATATGCATTGACTGCCCGAAAGTAATTAACGTACGAGGCCAAAAAGGTGCACCTTACCCACCTTGATTATGCTTCGAGCTTTTGTCACCCCGCAGACAACCAGTTCTAACATTGTATGTAACCCAATCCTAATGCACAACAACAACACAGAGCCCTACAACACGGTAATGTATCACTTCGTTTGTCACACCTACCGACCGATTTGCGGCACATTTCAAATCTTCATCTCGGTCGGTTTCATTTGCGTTGACCTTGACGACCGCTTCGGCCGTGGCTTTTCCATCCGTCTGATTCAGTGCGTGGGAAATCAACCGATCGATGGCATTGTGATAATCCTCCCGCTTCTGATCCTCATCCTGGGCGTACGCCTCGTCCAGATCGTTGATCATTTCATCCTCATCGTAGGCCACAAAATTTGCACTACATTTGCGCGCGAAAACCGTCACAATCACCACTACCACCACCGCGACGAGTATCCTTCTGGTCGTCATTGCTCGGAAAACGACCAATTCGCGAACGCGCTGCGCGCTACTAATCTGCTCAGAACAAACCTCGAAGATGGCTCCCCACGAACTAACTCCAAAGGCGCAAACTTTGGCTTCCCCACAGTCGGTCAAGTCTGCCTATAGCACACATTTAACATATCTCTATCTCTTGTTTTGCCGCTGCTGTTATTTGCTCAACACACGCTTGCCTGACGGGGCCTCCCTTAGCTCAGTCGGTAGGGGCGCAGCTATTAAGCAAGACCATGCTGAAGGTGGCTGAGTTCGATTCTCGATCCGGTCTTGGTATTTTTTCCGGTTGGTAAATTTCTCGACTTCCCTGGGCAAATAGAGTATGATTGACAGGGACGATCAGAGACTGACTCAATTTCGGATTACCCTCAAATTGGGGTGAATTTTCCAGGAAAAACTCCTCGAAAATGAGGAAAATCGAGGTTTCGGATAATTGGTTGAGTAAAATTGTCATGGATTTTCCAAAACATCATTTTGACGAAATTGAGTCGACTTGAGTTGGTCGAAAATTGTACAAGCTTAGAAAGCTCTCAGTGAGCAACTGTGGATGTGCTCAAAGAACACCAAGCTGAGAGCTGGCGTATAGTCCCAGTAGGCACGTAATAATGCCAAAGAATAAGAAGAAAAATGCTTGCCCGAGCCGGCATCCGTCTACCACGGCCGCTGTTGTTAGCCCTAACTGGAGGAGGGTTGGGTGGGGACACCACCAGCAGCAGCAACCATCAGCAAGCAGTGCAACGCACACCGATCGGCTGGGAAGCACCAGTCAGAGAGGTAGATGATCTTTCTCGAACGTGAAAACCCCGGATTTTTTTATCTTGTTTTCGGATGAATGATTCAGCCCAGAGAAGCGTGGATAAACCGTCCCAATGAGTATGTATGTTTGTCTGTGATCTCTTGTCTGAGGGAGAAAAAAAAGTCAACCGAACGTTGCGCGGAAAAGAACGAATCGAGCTGAGTAACTGCACCTTACATTACAACTGCTGACTTGAACCACGGTCGTAAAGGTGCTGAGGGTTGATTTCGGTATCACATCGATGGCTGAGTGTTGCGCTTATCGCACTGATAAGCAACGGGGGGAAGACGCAATTATTGGCTTGTTTGTTTATGTTGAAATGTGTGCCAATCAAACAGGTACTAGGTATCGAAGTTGCTGGTGGCCGATCCAGCTCGACTCTGTCTAGCGAGATTGAAGCTGCTACACCACTTCCGCAAAAGCGGGTAAGCGATCAATAATTGAGTAGATCGATTAGTCGTTTGAACGTAACTGGCTGCAAACGATCATTGCAATGTTATTAGCGTGTGAATCGTTGATCTGAATGGACAGGTGAGATTAATTGATCGGTATGGGATTGATTAGCGACCTTCCGATGGTCTAGTCCGTAAAGGCCCAGCATACTTTTATTTTCTTATTTTATTATCGAGATTTTCAGTCTTGGGCTGGTTCACCTTCGCCCATGCACAGTGGGACGAGAAAGGACAAAATGGAGTTTTTTTCTTTTGCTATGTTGAATTTGTGTATTCATCAGCAATCAGTGTAGACCGTTTCAATGCTATTTTACAATTTTATTAAGTTTAAAAATATATCAGCCATTCCATAGCAAAACGATGGTTTGACGTAGGACTACGTCTGTGATTTCTATATGGGGGTACACTTTGTGAAACACGATAATGGAACATGTAACAAAATTATGAAAGAATTTGAACGTTAATAACTCAGCTGCCCCTCAACCAATTTCAATAGTTTTATCACCAATCAATCGGATATATTTCTACGCACATTCAACTGTTTAAAACTTCATCATTTATCAAAATTCCACTGTTGAAAATTGCACGAATGTGCAACTGTTGCTATGATAATTAAAATTATTACCGATTGCCTGCGAAAAGCGATTTCCCTAACACAGATTTCAAAGTTGGATTCCATCCGGTCTCACCAAACAGTGTTTATTCATTCAACGCGTGGTGAGTGGTAGTGTCCTCCAGTAAACAATGAAAGGCTGCCTGCAAACAGCGAGCTGCAGCCTACATGAGCATCCATAGAAGGAGGAAGAAGCTGCACCGCTATTGATCGGAATCAGTAGCTCTTCGTGAGTCGCTGTGGACCATCTATGCCAAGCGCGTCACCCTCATTCCAAACAACATTCAGCTCACCAGCCTCATCTGTGTTTAACACCCTAATAGCTCAGCATTCCTCAAGATAAGACTTCCTCTATTCGACGGTAATGTTGGTTTGCGTGCGTTGGATTGCCTGCGAAAAGCGATTTCCCTAACTCAGATTGCAAAGTTAAATTCCATCCGGTCTAACCGTCGACTCATGAGCTTCCTGAACGACCACACACACTAAGATTTTGTTTCCTTGCTCGGTAAATTTTACCGAAATCAGAACAGCTGAACGTTCGGTAAAACTTTGACCTTCATTTTAAAGTCCATTGAAATTTCAAAACATGTTCACCCTTATTTAAACGATCAAATCTTGTCATTTTAGTGTAGATTTAGTTTCAAAGTAACTGAAAAGCAATTGAATTAAATTGCATAAATTTTACCGAAAAGTTCAGCTGTTTAGCTTTTGGTAAAAATTACCAAAGTCGGCGATAATTTCTAAGTGTACAACCTTCTTGACCACCGTCAACACGCGTTCCGTCCAGGACACGGTACTAATACGTACTTCGGGACGCTCGGTCAGGCCCTCCACGACGCAATGAAAGATAACCAGCATGTGGAGTTGGCAACGTTAAACATTTCAAAGGCGTACAACCGGGCCTGGATGTCGGAGGTCATCCAACAACTAGCCAACTGGGGGCTAAAAGGTCTCATTCTCCAATGTATTAAAAACTTTCTGCACCACCGAACCTTCCAAGTCATCATCGGCAATCACTTTTCGAGTACATTCCGCGAGGATACGGGTGTGCCCCAAAGGTCCGTCCTTGCGGTCATCCTGGTCAGAATGAACTGAGTCTTCAGCAACCTGCCAGCGGGGATCCTAATCTTCGTTTACGCCGTCGTTAAAAATACAATAAAAATCCTCCGCATTAAACTGTCCCAAGCCGTCAACCACATTAACCACTGGACCATCAATGTCGGAGTTCAGCTGTCGGCTGAAAAGAGCGCTTTCGCGCACATACCCACCGATCCCTAACGTCACTGGTCACCATCGGATCTCAGGCCATCCGGCAGCATAAAATCGTCAAGATTTTGGGAGTTCGAGTTGACTGCAGCCTTTCGTTCGTACCCCACTTCGATGAGATGAAATCTAACTGCCGGTCAAGGTTGAACCTTATTCGCTCGATCGCCAGACGCCACCCAGATAGCAATCGGCACCTCCGGACCCGAATCGCCAAAGCGATCATCAACACGCGGCTCACCTACGGGATCGAGTTAACCTGTATGGCCAGAACAGCTCTCATCGAGAAACTCACTCCTGTGTATCAAAGAGCCAGGCTTAGGTCAGGACACACCCGTATCTCACAAACACACAAACGGCGAATTCCACCGACCCTTTCCACTGTGCCAGATCCATCATTCGGTGGAACACTTTATATACCACTGCCCGCAATATCAAAGACTTCGAAATCTGTTCGACATCCCCAGCAGGAGGGTGCCTGCCATTCATTTTGACTAAAAAAATGTCTTATGAAATTATGGAAAAATAAGATATTATGATGATATTTTGTATGTGTAAGTAATAAGAAAGATTATAAAATTTGTGTTTCACACATCAATCCTGCAAATTTAGCTTTGACAGAGTCACAATGAGCGTTTTTCTGATCGCCTCTTCGCGAAGAGTGAAGAGCGAATAGTGGGTGAGATAAATTACAAAATCGCTTAGGGCCCATGCATTAATTACTTACTTACTTACTTACTTAAGGGTCCTGTGCACCACCAGCGGTGCAAAGGGTCAACGTGAAAGACTTCCATCCTGGGCGGCTGCTCGCTTTTGCCTTGACCTGGGCCCAGGTCAGATTTCTATCGACTTGCTTAATTTCCTTATTGAGGCTCCGCCGCCATGAGCCCCTGGGTCTGCCTCTTCTGCGATGTCCTGCCGGATTCCAATCCAGCGCTTGCTTGCAGATTTCGTTTCCGCAACGTCGAAGTGTGTGGCCGACCCACCTCCACCTTCGCTCTCGAATTTCTGTTGCTATCGGCTTCTGATGACATCGACGATGGAGCTCGGCATTCGAGATCCAGTTGTGAGGCCACCAGGCACGAATTATATACCGCAGGCATCGGTTGATGAAGACCTGCAGCTTTTGAGTGTTCTCCGCTGATACAAACCACGTCTCGCTGGCGTATAACAACACAGATTTCACGTTCGAGTTGAAAATTCGGATTTTGGTGCGTTGACTTATCTGGTTGGATCTCCATACGTTTCGTAAACTCGCAAAGGCAGCCCTAGCCTTCTTGATTCGTGCACCTATGTCGCTCTTGGTCCCGCCGCCCGACGATATTTGGCTGCCAAGATATTGGAAACTTTCGACCTTCTCCACTGCTTGCCCCGCTACCGTAAAGTTGGAAGGGTTGCCCGTGTTGATATCCAACGATTTGGTCTTGTTGACGTTGATGGTGAGACCCGCCGCAGAGAAGCGTTCGGCTAGGTCATTGAGCTTACTCTGCATATCAGAGCGCCGTTGTGCTAGTAGAGCAACATCATCAGCCAAATCGAAGTCGTTGAGATACTCCATGGTGATAGACTGCCAAAGCAGCCCACGGTTCGGTACACGGTCAATTGCACCTACCATGATCTCGTCGATTACGATGAGAAACAGTTGCGGTGATAGTATACATCCTTGTCTCACACCAGCGACTACCCGGATAGGGTCGGACAAGGCTCCGTTATGCAGAACTCTGCACGTGAAAGCCTCATACTGCGCTTCGATGAGGTTGAAGATTTTATCCGGGACTCCCTTGCGTCTCACGGCGCTCCACAGATTCTCGTGATTGAGACGGTCGAAATCTTTTTCGTAGTCAATGAATACCAAATAAAGGGACTCTTGGAATTCATTG